AGGGTACTGATTACCCTGGCGAAGTGCCTGTGCTGGCGTGTGTGTGTTGTGCGGAGGAGGAGGAGATGCAGCTGCTGCAATCTGCATCGATGTCCACGTGAGTTGGCAACGCCATCTGCTTGCGGGCGCCGCAGAGCCTGGGCTGATAGTTTACCAGGGTGCCTTCGGGACTGAAAGGGAACGCAAGGCCTGGAACCGCTGCCTTAGCGCCCGCAGCGCGCTGGCAGTGGCTCCGCGGCGCGGGGATAATTCGATCTAGAGTTGCGAGTGAATTCTCTCGAACTCACTCCCCATATACAGGACCTCCAGCCTACCTTCCCAAGGTCGAGCACTGAGCGAACGGAGGTGGGCGAGGGAGGGAAGGGAGCCCTGCGAAGGAGGCCGAGGGGCGGGGGCACTCTGAATCAGACTACCCTCTGCTAGATGCTTACGGTGTCTCACTGGCCCTGGCCGTTCCCGCTCTCTTTCTCTCTCTCTCTCTCTCTCTCTCTGTCTCTCTCTCTCTCGCTCTCTCTATCCGTCTTTTTCTTCCTCTGCTCTCTCACTTCTCCTTCTTTTTTTTTTCGCTCTCTCTCTCCTCTCTCTTCCCTCTCTCTCTCTCTCTCTGTCTCTCTCTCTCTCTCTCTCTCTTCTCTCGCTCTCTCTATCACTCTCAATCAATACAAACAAGCAAAAACGAAAAAAAACAAAAGCACAAAACACGAAACGATAAAAAAAACACTCAACGTATTACAGAAATGACAAAACATAAAACGGCAAGATAAAATAACATAGAGGAACACAAAATAAATAAACATGAATAAAAAAATCATAAAAAGTAACAGACTAAGAAATACCAACCAACAAGGCTTTGCCCTCGGTGCGCGCGCGAGCCCTCCCACGGGGGCCTTGCCGGGGAGCTCCGAGAGGCCTGCCGCCCTCAGCCCGGGGGAGACGAGTCGGTTGGTCTCCGCTCACGCGTCGCCGCGCGCGGTGCTCAGCTCCTGGGGGTGAAATTTCTTGGCGGCCAGCCTCCTGTGGTTGTAAATTCAGCCCGACGGGCTAGTGACCTGCGCCAGCCGCGAGTTTTGGGCGGCCCCTTGCTCTGTCTGAAACTTGCTCGCTCTGCGCGTGATACACCAGTCCTCGAAATCCGTCGGGCCGAGCGCCTCCCTCGAGGCGTCGAGTCGCTTGATCGCCAGAAAGACACATTGAAGCTCCTTGTTGTTTTCCTTATGTAATTGCGTGCGCCAGCGTCCATATAGCGCACTCGCGTAAATGTGGCGAGTCGCACTCGTGGCCCGCTCCTGCCTCGCGAACGAGGCGCTCGCACTTGGCGGCAGCCTCCTTCAGCGCCACATAGACAGGATGGCCCGAGGGGCCCGAGGGGCCCTTGAAGTGCGTGTCCGACGCATCCCTCTCTCTCATCCTCGCTTCCAACTGCAGCAATAGTTGCCGCTCCTTCCCGTCGCTGCCCATCGAGCACGCACTTTGGCGTTCCTACTGCTGCCCGTTGCCGCCCGCCTCGGCCAGCTCCGCTGCGCCCAGCCACTTCGCATCAAAATGAAGTAAGTGTCTCTCGATGCGCGGCAGTATGTGCTCGGGCGCAAGATGAGTCTCGAGCGCCCTCGGGCTCTAAACCTCACATGTAAACGACGAACAAATAGTGATGTTGCGTTGCTGGCTCGTCAGGTCCCTCGCGCTGAAATTATGGATGCGCCTCTCGTAGTCTGCCGAGGCTGATGGGCGCCGCTGAGCAACGGCTGGATCTGCAAAATTGCCGCTTCACAAATTGCAGTAATTCGACAAAGTGACTGCGCGGGGGGTGCGATCCGCGGCGCGGATGCGCCTCGGCATCGCTTCGGCGCCCCCTCTGCCTTTCGTGCAAAACCTGACGCAGTGCAAGACCATGTGCTTTCTGCCCATGAAGTCACCATTGCATACAAGGCAAATCACCCCAGAAGCCCCCACCATGCCGCAAGGAGCGGGGAGGGGGGGCAGGGGGTCAAACTACCCCCTTGGAATCCTGAGGGGGGGGGGGGGGGGAGGAGAACAGCGATGAAACGTTCCCTGGGCTTACATTCCAAGACGTCTATCTGGCAGAAGATGCCCCCCGACTCCCCGACAACTTTTCAAACCACTTCCTGCTAGGAGATCGATAAAAGCCCGGCCTTCCGGGGGAAACCCAGCGCCGCGCCGCAATTGCTGCGGCCGCGCATTAGCTGCGGGCGAAGCTCGACCCCGATCATCTACATTATAACCATTTCACTCGCAGTGAGCCCGCCCGACCAGAGCTGCGATTACGCGCTGGTCCACTTCCTGATGAGTCACGGCGTCCTGGGGCCACTTCAGTCCCCGAGTGCGCAGCTCCGCTAACAGCGCGCCAAACTTCAGATGCCTCTGAACCTGGGGATTGGAAGGGGCCCTGGTCTTATCCACTTGCCTCTGATTGCGCGCGCCACTGAGAACTGCACTCCTGAACTTGTAGACCAGCTGCCGCGGCGGCGCGAGCGCCTGGACGGGGGGCGCGCGCGTTTAGCGCGAATGCCTCGAGGCCCGAAAGGCCGCGTTGTTGACGAGCCCGGGGGACACTATGCCTTCAAACCTAGTGGAGATCCTGGGGGTGGCCAGAACTTGCCCATCTTGCGCCATGCTGCGCGTTTTGTCTGCATCCACAATTTTTCCTCGCCGAGAACCCGCGGTTGAAATGCTGCCGACCTCCCGAATGCCCGGCTTCTGCTGCGACCTGCCCGTCGATGCGTTGCTTGCGCTCATGAAATGCCCTGTTCGACGACCCTGCCTCTCTTCCTGCGCCTCGTGAGATCCATCTGCTTGTCGATGTTCTGCGCTCCTCCGATCTCCTGCGTGACGTGATCACCCGCCTTGTTTTCCCATTCTGCGACTGCGGCCAAACGCCGCGCACTCGCGCCCACAAGCTTGCGGGCAATCTCATCAAACAACTGATGCAACAAGATCTGCAATAGGTAAATCATGCTCTGCTCGCAGTTGGAAAGGCAATCGAGCGCGAAGTGCTCGCTGCCACGGGTCAGCGACCACCTCGTCAAACATCGCGCGCGCGCCGATGCCGTAGGCCTTGGCAAACAATTTGGTCGTCGCGCGGTAGCCTGGTAGTACGCCGCTCTGGTTTGTCTGAAGTCAGCTGTGAACGCCGTCTTCAATCGTAAACGTGCTGCTGTGTATCCGTTAAGAAACCCTCTCCCGATGCCAATGCTAGCTCATCTGCTGCCAATAGCACGAATTGCTTGCATCGTGGAATCTCGTTGCGTGGTTTATACCTTCTCGTCGTAGTCCAGCTGGTCCACACATCTGAACCAGCAGGGCGCCCTCCCGTCTCCTGCGCGAGATGCCCCCGTGAGCCCAGCGTGGACCGCGCGATTTGCGATCCGTGAAAGATCGGGAAAAAATCTGTCAACGCCACCGAAAATCATGATAGGTCTTTCTCCAGCAGTGTGATCCATGTCATTGTGCTCGGGCAGTCAGCAGCAATGAGCCCGGTGCTGCGCTGCTGGCACTCGTTCCACTTGACGAGCTGCGCGACGCAGTACATACATGCATCTCTCAAACACGAGTGCCTGAAGTTCAGCTGCTGGCGCCAGATGCCCCCCTCGACAGTCGCGCGCCCAGTCGGGAGATGCTGACGTCCGTGGAGCAGAGCATGGCGCGCCAGGCCGCGATCCAAGAGGCCCCTCACCCGCTGGTGGCTCAGGGCCCCCATGGAGTAGATGTCCTCTGTGGAAGACTGGTGCTCGCGGTGAGAAGACCTCGGGCGTCTCCTGCCGAATGCCGTCTGCGATGCCGCGTGAGTCTGGACCTGGCTGCTGTTCTGAACTTTACAGGTATTGGTGTTTTGGTCGTTTGCAACGCCAACTTGGCATGGCAAGTACCCTTGGTGCATCTCCCGCCACGCTCCAGGCTGGCGCAGTTCTTCACGATGGTGACTTTGTAATGCTCGACGAAGACTTTCCACGTCACCAAGCGCATCCACATCTGTTGCCATGCAACCTACGGGTTCTCTCTCATCCTCAGTCGGGTTCACCCTCTCACGGTGTGGCTGTACATGATGTTGTGCTTCTTCAGCTGCATTTGGTGAGAACGGTCGTCTCGAAACACCTATGGCCTGCTGTGGAGATTGGGAGCAATGTAACGCTCGTGCGTTGGCGCCTCCGTTCGTGCCGCGCTTAAGAAACTGACTGGTCCAGCCCAATGCCGATGCGCATGTGCCTCCAATTGAGCGCGCAATCCGACGTGCGTCATAAAACTTGCGCTCTCGCCACGCTTCCCACTCCACTCGATCTGCCATGGCTTGGTCCTGCGCCTGCTTTGTCTAACGCGTAATGTGCCGACTGAGGCGTGCAATGTCTACGTTGAAGCCAGCTTTGGCTTCTCGGGCATAAGTTTCCCGTTCATTTTCCAGAAGCTCCGAAACTACAATGCAATGCGACAAGTTCTGATTTGTGTTCTCTGTGTAGCCTGGGGGCGAGGTAAGAATCGTGTTGGCCACGTCACCGATGCACTCCATCATAACAGCATTGATATGATGCACGTTGCCCTCATGTTCCCACTGGTCAAACTCATTTCGATGCCTGGATAAGTTGTATTCAACTGCCTGGATGAATTCCTCCCATCTGTATCCATACAATAACATGGCGTTGCAAGTCTCGGCATTGGGTTTCTGAGCGCGTCCCGCGATCGTCTGAACAATGAACGTGTGATATAACGAAACTTGCAAAAGGAACATGATCTTAGGGGGAAGCGCATTTGCTGTGTTGCAAGCGTTGCCCTTTTCGCAATGAGACCACGCACTCCTGCACCTTTTCGAAGACTGAAATGGGTACTAGAAACAATCAACACGTTCCCTGCAATCGTCCGCGATGGCATGATATGTCACTCCAGCTGCCAAGCAAGGAACTCACAATAACGAGAGCGTGTGCTTTGAGGAAGAGGAGGAGGAGGAGGAGGAGGAGGAGGAAGAGGAGGAGGAGGAGGAGGAGGACGAGGAGGAGGAGGAGGAGGAGGAGGAGGAAGCGGCAGAGGAGGAGGCGGAAGAGGAGGAGGAGAAGGAGGAGGAGGACCCTTTGGCCTCCTCGCCCCCCACGACGCGCCGCCCAGGTGATCCGAGCGATGCCCACTCCAGGGGGCCGCCTGGTGCCTCCGCATCAGGGCGCCGGGGGGCACGCAGGCGACGGCGTGCGGCTGCAGCACCTCCCGGCGGCAGCGGCCGCAGGGAAGGGCCGCGGGCGGCGAGGCAGGCGCTGGCGCGCAGCGCGGCACGACGGGGGGCGGGAGGGCGGGAGGCGCGAAGGGGCGTTCCAGGAGATCCAACGTGCTGACCAAAAAAACCAAGGCGGAGGTTTTTCTAGGCTTTCGGCCTCGGGCCGTCCACAAACGGCTCGGGACGAAAAGCCGGTCATGAGGAATGGGTCGAGGCTTCTGGGGGCCCTGTGTTGAAAAAACTACGACATCGGATCTCTGGGCCTGGGCCGCGAGAAATGAAGAAATGGGGGGGGAGGCGGCACATGAGGGGGGGGCTGGGATAGGTCGGGCATGTCGCCCTACAGGCGGATTTGGGATGAAATCTTAAACACATTTCAAAACTACCCCAAACATATTCATATATATATATATACATATATAGAATCGTCCCCAGACTATTGCTCAAAACTTGTTTTGAATATTCCCCCTGTAGAGGGACAGGCCCGACTTAAGGGTGGGGGGGGGGGCAGCGAGGGTGCAGACACGTGGCGCGCCACAGGGCCCCTCGAGGGGGGCCATTCGGGGCCTTCGCGGGGGCTCTTTTGGGGCCCGAAGAAGGCGCGCCTCCCTCCCCCCCCCCTTCACTTGTCGCTCCCGCGCTCATTCGCGCCCCAAGGCTGAGGGGCAACGATAGGGGGGGACTGGCACAGGGGGGGAAGCATCGACCTGGAATCGGCGATACATCGCCGATAGATCGGAGACAGGCCTTCGATCGTGAATCCGCACCTTCCTGGGCAAGTTGGGGCTATCGGGCCCCCATCGGCGATCAATGGGCGATTGGGGGTCGGTGCATCCCCTCTATGCCTATCCCCCCCTTACCGTTGCCCCGGAGAGGCGCAAGGAGCCGGAGGGGCGCCGGAGGGGAGCCGGAGGGGCGCCACACGCAGGCCTCGAGTCTTAGGGATCCGACGTCGTGATTCGTTCAATGCGGGGTCCCTAGAAGGCCCGGCCCTTGCCCCAGGACTGGCTTTTCATCCCGAGTCTGACGTTGCTCCCATCGTACTTAAGGACCTAACAGTCCAAGGAAGAATCTCGAGCACCCCGAAAGACATCGAAACGGTGTCGAGCGAGTGTCGCCTCCCAGGGCCCGACACGCGAAAACCCTCCAGTTTCGGCACTTCCTTCGTGCAGTAGGTTGGAACACCATAGCCCGAATCGTTTCTGGACGGTCCCGGGGCCTGGTGAGGGTCCCTGGAGGCCGAGCACTGCGAAACACGTCCGTCTTGATTTTTCAATGCGTTGGGTCTTTGGGGGGTCTGCGCGGGCGTGCCCGAGAGCAGAGCGAAGCACGACGCAGGAGCCGCGGCGAAGCAGACACACCGCCGCCACCGAGCGCCCACCTCGGCGCGGCGGGGAGGCCACCGGAGACGAAGGCAGGGCGAGGACATGATCGGACGAGGGCAAGCCCCCAGAGCCCCGACGCTGTGCTCTGTTCACAACGTCGACCCCCTGAAGTCTGGACCCCTTCCCCGGGGCCCCTGCGTCGCTCTTTGCCGGCCCCGAGACCGGGCATGGGCCCCCAGAGGCCGAACACGTAGCGATAAAAACCGTCCGTCGTAAAAACCGTCGTCGTGATTTGTGGCCACCAGCGCGAGTGAGGATGAGGAGGAGATGAGGAGGAGGAGGAGGAGGAGGAGGAGGAGGAGGGAGGAGGCAGGAGGAGGAGGAGGAGGAGGAGGAGGAGGCGCATGCCTTGTGCGCTGCGGCCCTTCCGGGGCGCTCCGAGACGCCCTGCAGAGCGGCCCGGAGGCCCCGCGCCCCTGAGCGCGGCAGGGGCCGCGCCCCGCGCGGCGGCAGCGGCGGACGCCGGGCGGCGGCGCGCCGCGGACAACGGACCCCTCGGGGAGCGTCGGCGTCGTCGTCGTCGGCGGCGTCGTCGGCGTCGGCGTCGTCAGCGGCGTCGGCGACGGCGTCGGCGTCGGCGTCGTGGTCGTGGTCGTGGTCGGGCCTGCCTGGCCACCCGGCAGGGCGGCACGCCTGGGCGCCACCCCGTCTCAGGCGCGCCGCCGCTCGGGCGGTGCCGCCGCCGCGCCCCGTGGGCGGCGGGGCCCGGGCGGCGTCCGCCGCTCGGGCGGTGCCGCCGCCACCTTCCCTGGGGCTCTTGGCGGCGGTGGTCGCCGATCCTCCTCCTCCTCCTCTTCCTCGTCTTCATCCTCTTCCTCCTCTTCCTCCTCCTCCTCCTCCTCCTCGTCCTCCTCCCCCTCGTCCTCCTCCTCCTCCTCCTCCTGCTCCCCCTCCTCCTCCCCATCCTCCACCTCCCTCTCCTCCTCCTCCTCCTTCTCCTCCTTCTCCTCCTCCTCCTCCTCCTCCTCCTTCTCCTCCTCCTCCTCTCCCCCCCTCCTCGTCCTCCTCCTCCTCCCTCCTCCTCCTCCTCTCTTCCTCCTCTCTCCTCCTCCTCCTCTCCTCCCCCTCCTCCTCCTAGCGCCTCCTTCTTCCTCCTCCTCTTCCATCCTTCCTTTCCTCTCCTTCCTCCTCTCCTCCTCCTCCTCCTCCTCCTCCTCCTCCTCTCCTTCCTCCTCCCCCTCCTCCTACTTCTCCTCCTCTGACTGCCAGGGCGAGGCGGGTGCGAGCTACAAGACGAAGAGTTGCTCCTGTCGTCGTTGCCGTCGCTGCTGACAATGCCGTCGACGGCGTCGGCGCCCCCCGGCGCCGTCTTCTCGCCGCTGTCGTCGTCATCGGCCCTCTTCGTTGTCGCCGTCTTCCTTGTCCTCGACGTCGCGGGCTCTAAGCGTCGACGATCGATGTTCGAGGATCGCGGTTTCCGTATGTGTGGTGTTGCATTGCCTTGTCATTATGGGGACCTGCGCGAGGGTCTCTTCGGGGCCGTGGGAAGCCTACGACAATATCTGGAGGCCAGGGTCCTCTTCCGAAGGCTACAAGAAGCCTCCGACGGCTGAGGGCGTCGGTCGTCGTGGGCCGACGTCGTCGTCGACATAGTCGCCTGCGTCTGCATCGTCGCCGTCGTCTGCGTCGCAGTCGGGCGCGTTTTTGTTCGTGGTCCCAAATGTCGTCGTCGTTATGTGCAACGTTGTCGTGGTCAAGGTGGCGAAGGGGGCAGGAAGGAGGGATTCACGCACAATCTGGAAGCGCCAACAAATGTCTCATGCAACAGAAGGCCCGAACGTCGACTCGGCACATAATTTAACAGTTTGCAGCCTACAATGAAGAGGGAGGAAGGATGACTAGAGGGATGAGCTAGTGGGAGGATAGGGGCAACCTCTCCTCCACCAGCCGTCCCTTCTTCTCTTTCTTCCTCGCTCCCAGCTCCTCCCCTCCCCGACATCCCTCGCCCTCCTCCTCCTCTTCCTCCTCCTCCTCCTCCTCCTCATCCTCCTCCTCCCCTCCCCGACATCCTCGCGCCCAGCTCCTCCCCTCCTCCTCCTCCTCCTCCTCCTCCTCCTCCTCCTCCTCGGATTCCTCATCCTCATCGTCATCCTCCTCCTCCCTCCTTGACTCCCGTCGACGACGTCCGCAACTACGAAGTCGACCATCGCCACCTCGACGCCGCCGCCGCCGCCGCCGACGACGACGACGACGACGATCCCGACGAAGACGACGACCCCGACAAAGACGACCCCGACCACGACCACGACGACGACGACGCCCCGCTGCTTGTCGGGCGTTGCCAGAAGCGTGGTACTGGCCCAAGTTGCCTTAAGCTATATGTTGCTCCCATTGCACTTAAGGGCCACATCCCAGAAACAACTTCGAGCACCCAGAAAAGTGTCGAAACAGTGTCGACCGAGTATCGCCTCCCAGGGCCCGACACATGACCACCCTCAAGTTTCGGTACTTTCCTGGTGCTCGGAATTCTTGCTGGTGGTCAAGGTTAAAGTAGGTTGGAACATCATAGCGCAAGATGTTCGCGCCCTTCTGGAGCCCTCGGGGCCTCGCGATGGGGTGCTCTGGAGGCCACCTGGGCGCCGAGGAAGCCGCCAGAGAGCGAGGGCCGCTGCGAGCACGCGGGGAAGGCCGCCGACGGGGGGGGCCCACCAGGGCGTGCTCGTCGTCCCGGGGGGCGGGCGCGGGCGCGTCCTCGGCCGCACGCGGCGCCCCCAACCAGGCGCTCCTGACCCTCGCGCTCCTGAGGCCCTCCTCCTCTTCCTCCCTCCTCCTCCTCGTCCTCCTCCTCCTCCTCCTCCTCCGACCGCATCGTCATCCTCCTCCTCCTCGTCCGTCTCCTCCTCCTCCTCATCCTCCTCGTCCTCCTCCTCCTACTCCTCCTCGTCCTCGTCCACCTCCTCCTCCTCCTCCTCCTCCTCCTCCTCTCCTTCTCCCATCCCCCCCCTCTTCCTCCTCCTCCTCCTCCTCCCTCTCATCCTCCTTGTCCTCCTCCGACCGCATCGTCCCTCCTTCTCTCCCCTCAATCCTACACCTCCGTCTCCTCCACACTCATCCCTCCTCCTCCTCCTCCTCCTCACTTCTCATTAGATCCTCATCCTCCTCATCTCCTCATCCTCCTCCTCCTCCTCTTCCTCCTCCTCCTACCTTTAAACTCCAAGTCTGGACCTTCATCGGCGTCCTCCTCCTTCTCCTCTCATCCTCTTCCTCCTCCTCCTCCTCCTCCTCCTCCTCCTCCTCCTCCTCCTCCCCCTCCTCCTCCTCTCCCTCCTCCTCCGCCTCCTCATCCTCCTCCTCCTCCTCCTCCTCCTCTTCCTACTCCTCCTCCTCATCATCCTCCCTCCTCCTCCTGCTCCTCCTCGTATCGCCTCGTCCTCGTCCTCCGTCATCGCTGCCACCCCTCCTCCTCCCTCCTCACCTCATCCATCCTCTCCTCTTTTTCCTCCTCCCCTCTCCTCCACCTCCACCCCCCCTATCCTCTCACCTCCTCCTCTCCTTCCTCCTTCCTCCCCCTCCTCCTCCTCCTCCTCCTCCTCTCCTCCTCCCCCTCCTTCCTCAGCCGCCTCCTCCTCCTCCTCCTACTACTCCTCTTCCTCCTCCGTCGTCCTCCACCTCCACCATACTCCTCTTCCTCCTCTACCTCCTCCTCTCCTCCTCTCCTCCTACTCCTCCTCATCATCCCTCCTCCTCTCCCTCTCCTCCTCCTCCTCTCCTCCTCCTCTCCTCACCTCCTCACCAATCCTCCTCCTCATCCTCCTCCTGTCCTCTCCTCCCTCCTCCTCCTCCTCCTCCTCCTCCTCTTCTTCCTCCTTCTCCTGCATGTCAATCGCATGGCCTCACAAGAAAACGTCGTTCAGCTCCTAGTTGGCCTCATGGAGGCGTCGAAAATTGCCATGGCAAATTGCCATGGCAAGGGCTGTTGGCCCGTTGAGGGGCGAGACACGGGATGTCGGGAATCGTATGCGTGCCGTACAGCCTCGCCCTTCGGCTCCAACCTCTGGATGATCGAAACGCCCTCGCACTCACCCCCCTCCTGGAGGCAGGAGGACACACATACACACCTATACACACAGACCTCGCGCTCCTGGAGGGAGAAGGGGAGAGGGCCCCACCCCACCCCTCGCCCCATCCCTATCCTTAGGAGGCCAGGGAGGGCGGATAGGAGGGGGTGGGTGGGGGGGAGCACGACCAGGGGGAGGACGAGGACGCCGACACCCCCCCCCGCCGGACCTGGCCTGGGGCGCGAAAAGCGCACAGAGCGAAGGCGCTCTGAGGGGCACCACCGGAGAGAAAGGGGGGGCAAAGATGGCTTGCCGAGAGCTCTCGATTCCTCGACTCCTCGATCCTTCGATCCTCGCCTCATCGAATGCTCGAAGCCTGGGCCCTCAGAGGCGGCGGCCGCGGGCGGCGGCGGCGGCGCCAGCCAGGCGGGGCCGAGACACTGGTCGGTCGTGCGCCGTGTGCGGGCAGCGGCGGCACCGGCAGACGGCGGCAGGCGGCGGCAGGCGGGCGGCGGCGGGGCCGGAGGGCAGGCGGCGGCGGCGCGGGTCCGAGTGCTGGCTGGCCACGTCGTACGCAGGCAACGGGTGGCCCAGGAACGTGGCGTTGCAGGCCGGCGCCTTCGCCGGTGGCGGGGGGTGCGAGCGTTAGGTCGGGCGTGTCCCCCTACAGGCGGACTTTTGACGACCAAAAAGACATAGTCAAAAAATATCCAAAAATATTCAAAAAAAGAGTCGAAACAATTTTTGGATTTTCCCCCCCCGTAGAGGGATAGGCCCGACTTAATGCGAGCGGGCGCCGCCGCCGCGAGGGCCTCAGCGCCGAGATCCCGCGGCGAGCGGCGGCGAGCCGGGCTCGAGAGTCCAGGGCCGAAGGTGCGAGCGGAAGCCGCGCGCCCTGGGCGCGCGGGCGACGGTGCGGAGCAGAGCTGCTCGAGTCTTCCGCGCCGCTGCTCCGTGCGAGTCGGCGCTCGGAGGCGCCGAGGTCTTCCCGATCTGAAGAGCGACCGTGCGGTGACAGACCCTGCGGTGACAGACCGTGCGGTGACCTCGGACCCCCAAAAGACCTCGCCACACGGTCCGTGAACGCACGGTTTTGGGGCCTCGGGTGCCCCAGTCGCCCGAGACGTCCTCGGAGAACGACCCGAGCCCCAAAACCGTGCGGTGACCCGAATCCCCACCGACCCACCGCACGGTGTCGGCACCACCCCGTTTGGGGGCCCCCGGATCGAGGCTCGAGGACGCTGCTGCACCTGAGCCGGGGCCGGAGAGCCGATCGCCAGCGACAATCGCCAACGGCGGCGCCGCCGTCGTCGCGGCCGTCGTCCCCATGCATCCGACGTCTTGAGCTTTCCAGTAAGAGTTCGCCACAAGTCCAGGGCCTTGCCCCAAGGTTTGCTCTTCGTCCTCGAGTCGTTCGCTGACGGCTCCCTGGGCCCAGCGATGGCCCCCCAAATGCCCCAAAATCGCAACAAAAACACACTTTGTCTGTTTGCTCGAGGCGTTGGAGGTCCAGGTCTAGAGATCATGCAATCCACTCTGAGAACAAGCACTCCCGCAAACGAAACCGCTTCTAGTAGCCGCACCCAAGGAAGAACATCGAGCAGGGCAGGGCTATCTCGGAACGTCTGGCAAACGCCAAGAGCCAGGGTCGGGGGGTTTTTTCCCCCTCGTTGAAGGTCGTCGCCCCAGCCAGCCTGGCTGATCTCTGCCGCCCGAGCGGCGCGGAACCAAGACCCCCGATGTTTGTTCTCACGTCGACCCCACCCAGAGATCCAACGCATCGAAAAAACCAAGACGGAGGTTTTTCCAAGCTTTTGGCCTCCAGGGGCCCTCGCCAGGCCCCGGACCCTCCAAAAACGACTCAGGATGAGAAACCGGTGCCCCGGGGAATGGGCCGAGACTTCTGGGGACCCCGCACTGAAAAAATCACGGCATCGGCTCTCTGGGCATCCTGAATCGTGTTTGTTCACGTTCCCGAGGCCCGGCAAGGAACCCCCGGATGCCTTTGCAATAGCGAAGAGCCCCCCGCCGCGAGTTCGTTCACAACGCGAGGGGGCCTGGGGAGCGGGAGTCGTCGTCGGCGTCGTCGTCGTCGTCGTCGTCGTCGTCGGCGTCGTCGGCCGCGTCGGCGTCGTCGGCGGCGGCGTCAACGGCGTCGGCGTCGGCGTCGGCGTCGTCGTCGTCGTCGTCGGCGGCGGCGGCGGCGGCGGCGTCGGCGTCGTCGGTCGGTCGGTCGTTCGGTCGGTCGGTCGGTCGGTCGTTCGGTCGGTCGGTCGTTCGGTCGGCTGGTCGGTCGGTCGGTCGTCAACGTCGCCGTCCGTCGCCGTCCGTCGTCGTCGTCGTCGTCGTCGAAGTCGTCGTCGTCGTCGTCGTCGTCGTCGTCGTCGTCGTCGTCGTCGTCGGCGTCGGCGTCGGCGTCGTCGTCGTCGTCGTCGTCGTCGTCGTCGTCGTCACCGTCTTGCGCCGCTCGGGCCGGGGCGGCCCGTCGCGCACTCGGCGGCGCCCTCTCCGCAGCGCAGGGGCGGCCGCCCGCCAGCAGGCGCGCCCGCGGCGGCGCCGCCGACGGGCACCGAGAGACCGACGAGCCGCGCTCGCGCGCGCGCGGGGGGCCGCCCGGCCGAGGGCGCGCCCGCGGCGGCGCCGCTGGCGGGCCGGGAGACCCGTGCGAGCCGTGCGCGCGCGCACGGGGCGCCGCCGCGCCAGGGGGGGCCGCGCGGGGGCCGGCGCCGCTTGCGGCGGCGCCCTGCAGTCAACCATGCGCGATGAGGGTGCGAGGGCCTTGGGCGCCCATTTCGAAGCTTTGCGAGCGGGGCGCGGCCAGCGCCGGCGGCGGAGGACGGACCGAGGAGGCAAGGATGCAGGGGTGCCCTTGGGAAGGTTGCCCATCCTCACTCTGCGGGTCGACTGCATTGCCCGTCTGCGAGAGAGAGTCCGGCCTGTCAGCCAAAAGAGCACCATGAGATCTTTGAACCAGAGAGAGAGAGAGAGAGAGAGAGGGAGATTCGCCCGTCGGCGATGCAGTGGAGGCCTGCCAGTCCCCAAGGCACCTTCCACAAGAGACCAGACCCTGGGACCCCCCAGGGCGTCCACGGATGTCCGGCGTGGGAACGTCACGCTTGCTATGGCAGAACCGTCGAACCGCAGCCTGGAGGCGGAGGAGGAGGAGGACGACGACGACGAGGAGGAGGCGGAGGAGGAGGAGGAGGAGGAGGAGGACGAGGAGGAGGAGGAGGAGGAGCAGGTGTCTCTTGGCACGGGCTTCCACTGTAGAGTTCGCAGTGGCTCACGGGCTCAGTGTAGGGGGCGTCCGCGAGTGCACCCGCAGCGGCGCTGCCGAGGTGCGGAGCTTGACGCACCGGTGCTCCTCGTCGTCGGCGTGTCCCTCGCCATCGCCGACCGCGGGGGGCCTTTCTTCGACCAGGGCGAGAATGCTGTCACGACGGGGTTGCCTCAGGATGTGTGGCAAAAGTTCCGACGAATCTGGCTAGAGAGCAGAGGAACCACCCTCAGAATGAGCGCCCCGGCAAGAAAGGCGTTGGTAAACGCACCCAGGGAAGGAACCGAATAGGGCAAGGCTGTTCAGTAGCCCCCCAAGGCCGTTTCGTAAACGCCGATCATGGCGCTCGAATGGTGGCCCTCGTGACTGAAGCCCGTGAAGAAGATCGGGTCATCTTTTGCATCCTGGGGCTCTTGGAACCTACCACTGCCAGATCGACTCCCGCGTCGGCGTCCCGCGCGTCACTCCAGGCGCGGCTGGCTCCGCGCCCTGGCGCGGACGCGGCGCGCGGCGATCTTGGCGCCCTCGCGCCAGCGCCCTGGAGAGGGCAGGAGAGCCCAGCATCGGATCGATGAGTGGGATCGGCGATCGAAATGAATCGGAGTGGCGGGAATCGGCAGCGGAGTCGGGAGAAGTCGAATGGGCGGAAATCGGCAGGCTGGCAGGCCTCCGCTGAAACACCGACGCCCGATCTGGGGGAACCTAGAGGCACCGATACCGCTACCCCCCAGACCTCTCCCGGGGTGCGTTCTGACCAAGATTTCGACGCGAATCCAGCGGTGGCGACGAAGGCCTCCCAGGAAGCCCAGAAACGGAAACACGGGCGAAGGGTGGTATGGGTACTTGTCCCTCCTCTGACAATCAGACTCCGAAGTCGAATCGAAGCGGGATCGAGGTGAGCCCTGGAGGGTTGGTGGCGCGCACAAATGGGGTAGGGGCAGGGGGGACGGCTTCTTAGAAGCACCTTGCTTCTTAAAAGGCGCGGGCGTTACACGTACAGGCAAGACACGTGCCTTCTAAAAAGCAGGGGTGCGTCCAAGAAGCCTTCCCCCTTCCCCCTGCACCCCCCTCTCGCCATCCCTCCGTTGCCCCTTCCCCGTGCGTTTTGCGGCTCCGTGCGTAGATAGCCCAACACGCTGCTACGCCGTCCAGAAGAACAGGCCGTCATCCGAGTTAACGTCGAGCACGGCGAGGAGGACGGCGAGGAGGAGGAGGAGGAGAAGGAGCAGGAGGAGGAGCAGGAGGAGGAGCAGGAGGAGGAGCAGGAGGAGGAGGAGGAGGAGGAGGAGGAGGAGGAGGAGGGCGTCGTCCAAGAAGGGGGCCTCGAGTCATGGCCCGAGGCCTGGACGCAGGGGGCCAGGTGACGCGTTGAAAGAAGGAGCGGGTGCTATGAAATCCAGGGAGCTTTCAAGGGCCTCTGCCATGATACCCACAAGCACACTCAGAACCTTGGCGGCGCGCACAAGGGGGCAGAGGGGAGGGGGGAGGGCTTCTGAGAAGGAGGCCGCTCCTTAGAAGGCGCCGGCCTTGCGTGACATCTATAGATAAGGCCCGCGCCTTCTAAGAAGCAGGGGTGTGCTTCTAAGAAGCCCTCCCCCCTCCCCCACCCACCCCCCTCTGCCCCTCTGCGCGTGTCCGAGAACCGCAGTAATCCTCGCCCTGTTGGTCGCCACCGACTCTCGGGGAGACACGCAGGACTCGAGAGCGGGGGCCTGGGGTCTCTCAAGCTTGTCCGACGGGGCCGTCGGGAGAAGACTGGGGACCCTCGAGGTGCGGCGGAAGAGCAGAGTCCCAGCAAACTCGCGTCTCAGTCGCACCGGTCGGGGATGAGCTCGCACGTCGTCGTCGTCGACGACGTCGTCGTAGTCGTCGTCGTCGCCGAGGTCCAGGTCGTCGTCGTCGTCGTCGTGGTCGAGGTCGTGGCCGTGGCCGTGGCCGTGGCCGTGGCCGTGGTCGTGGCCGTGGTCGTGGTCGTGGTCGTTCTCGTCGTCGGCGGGAGGCCGCGAGGCTGCGGGCCTGGGCGAGGCCGTCCAGCTGCAGCGGGAGGCCGTCGCCCCCCTCCGCGTGGAACCGCTGCGGCAGCGGGCATGGGCGCTCTCCGGCCAGAGGCCCCCGGCGCCGGCGCCGTCGCCGTCGTCGAGGCCGAGGCCGAGGCCGAGATCGAGGTCGTCGTGGTCGTCGTGGTCGTGGTGGTCGTCGTCGTCGTCGTCGTCATCGTGGTCGTCGTCGCCGTCGCCGTCGTCGTCGTCATCGTCGTCGTCGTCGTCGTCGAAGTCGCGGTCGTCGAGATCTTCGTGGTCGTGAACGAGGTTGTGGTCGTGGCCGTGGTCGTGGTCGTGTTCGCCGTCGCCGCCGTCGGGGCGATCACACCCCCGCGGGCCATCATCTTTCTTTAGTAATCCGAGCGCAGTTTTTCATTCGCGGCCATAATGGGCGTTATGGGGGGGGGACGGGGGGACATCAAGTAACGCGCCCCCCTCCCACCCAGACTCCGGTGCCGGACGTACTGTGGCAGTGCCTGGAACGCACTGAGGGGGGGAGCGTTACGTTATAGGGGGGGGGCGGGAGGGTAGGGGCGCGTTCTGGCTCCGAGGGTAAAGAACACTTTCATGTTCGCTTCCTCGCCTCCTTCCTCTCATGCGCCCACCCCGCTCCACCTCATTCTGCTCCTCGCGCCTCCTGCTTTTCCTTTTCCACTTCGCCCTCTTCCTCCTCCTCCTCCTCATCCTCCTCCTCCTTCCCCTTGCCTTCTTCCTTCTCCTCCTTGTCCTTCCCCTCCTTCGCCTCACCCTGCTCCACCTCCTCATCACCCTCCTCCTCCTTTTCCTCCTCGTCCTCCTCCACCTCCTCCCCCTTCTCCTCCTCCTTCCCTCTCCCAGAGAAGAAAGGGGAGGATACGAGGATAGGCAGGAGGCAAGGAGGGCAAACATCCATGTGGCTAATGCTCCTTCGGGCCCCCTCAGTTCGGCCTCCTCCTCCTCCTCCTCCTCCTCCTTATTCACCTCCTCCTCCTCCTCCTCCTCCTCCTCCTCCTCCTCCTCTACTCCCTGTGAGGGGGAGGGGGACGATGAAGGAGACTCGGTCAGGGGGAGGGGAGATTCGGCCTTTTACAACCCGAACGACACTTTACAATCAAGATGGGTCACTTCACAACCAGCGGGGGATCGAAGTGTATGGTTATATTGTTGATAACGACCAGTCTACAACCAAAGCGCCCCACTTTACAACCAGAACGGCCCACTTTACAACCCAGTCGGGCTCTTTACAACCAGAACGGCTACTTTACAGCCAGTCTTCAGTCTTACAACCGCGCGGACCACCGAGTTCTTATGGTTATGTCATTATTCGCTCCCCCCATTGTTATTCGGAAGTAACCCCCTGCCATCTTAGGAGATTCCGCTCCCCCTCGGCGCCCCCCTCCCGGCGGACCAGGTGCAGCGCCAGGTCCGTCTGGTTGTGCACCTGGGCGCGGGTAGGGGGTCAGCGGCGTAGGGGAGAGGAGGGAGGAGTGGAGGCGGGAGGAGAGGAGGGAGGCGGAGGAGGAGGAGGAGGAGGAAAAGGAGGAGGAGGATGAACAGGAGGCGGAGGAGGAGGAGGAGGAGGAGGAGGAGGAGAAGAGAGGAGGAAGGAGAGAGGAGTGGAGGAGGGAGGAGTGGAGAGTGGAGGAGTGGAGGAGGGAGAAGTGGAGGAGGAGGAGGAGGACGAGGGGGAGGCGGAGGAGGAGGAGGAGGACGGGGAGGACGAGGAGGAGGAGGAGGAAGAGGAGGAGGAGGAGAAGGAGGAGGAGGAGGAGGAAAAGGAGGAGGACGAAAAAAGGAGAGTTGGAGGCACAGGGGGGGGGAGGGGGGGCGAGTGTAAGGAGGATGGTCAGGGGTCAGGAGGAGGATAGTCAGGGGTCAAGGGTCAGGGGTCAGTGGCAGAGAGGGAGGAGGGAGGATGAGAGGAGGGAGGATGAGAGGAACAAGAGGAGGAGGAGGAGGAGGAGAAAGGGAGGGCAGGGAAGGGGAAGGGGAAGGAGAAGGAGGAGAAGGGGAGGAGGATGAGTATGAGGAGAAGGAACGCGTGAAAATATTCGCGACCATCATGCGCGTTATGGGATGGGCAAGGGGGGCATAACATAACGCCCACCCCCCGCCGTGTGGCTCTGGCACCAGAGCGCCACTGCGCATCACAGCAAGCACCACAGTGCGCAGCACAGCATGCGCCGCCGCAGCCACGTGCACCACATCGCGTGTGTACTGCGCAGCGCACACGTGCACCAGCGTGGAGCACGACAGTTTTGTGCATCCTCCACACACTCATTCGAGCACTATGATGTGCTGGTGTTTGCAGCCGCCGTGTTGCATCGACGCACGTTGCATAATAAAGGTCCTAAAACACTCTGCTTTCTACCGCGACCAGAAACGAAGCATACCACGAAAAAAGCATTCAATCTGTACCGCACTGTCGGCTTCGGATTCGTGCTGCGCGCGTGCACCACGGCAGCAGCGGTCACCGCCGCACCTGCGCGGACTTCTTTGAACCCCCCTCCCTGCCGCGCGGGGCGCGCCAGGGGCGGCGCCGGATGCGCCCGCTGGAGAACCCGGCGCCGACCCCAGAAATCCCCAAGGAGCTCCGAGAAGTGATGTTTATGTAACTCTTCTTCGACCCTCAGGACATCTTCTGCTTTAAGAATGCAGCCGCCCAGATGATCTGTCACTACAACGACGACGACAGCTACTACGACGATCGTGACGACGATCGCGACGACAACGACGACCACACTCAGGAAGTCAACGCCAACCAGGACGACTACTACGATCCCGATCCCGACGACCACACGACGAAGACCAGGATGACGACAGCGACGACGATCACTACGACTACGTCGACGATCGCGACCATTTCGAATACTACGACGACTGCGACTGTCACGACGACGGTCACAACGACGACCACACGCTGACGACGACTATCGCTACGACCAGAATGAACACGACGACCGTGGCGATTTCGACGACGACGACGACAACACTTACGACACACACAACAACGGTAACAACGAACACCACGACCACAAGACAAGCACGACGACGCTTACAAGGACAGCCACTCCCCCCTCCTCCTCCTCCTCGTCCTCCTCCTCCTGATATCATTTTTATTGCTGGAACTGTTGCCACTACTTCTGCTACCAATGCCGGTCACACAACTCTCGCGGCCCTGCCTGCACCAGAGTACCGAGTCAACCCCGCGCGCGTGCGCACAAAAAAATCGAATCCTGCATGTGCGACAATAGCCTACGAGCGCAACGCCATGTCTGCGAGAACGGGCAATGAGACTGTCAACGCCACGCTAGGCCGTGAACGTGAAAGAAGCCTGCAAGCACCACAGTAGCCTGCGAGCATCATGATGGCAGTGCCGGAGGCGAACTGCAGGGGGGGGGGCGGCGTTGGGGGGGGGGGGGAAACGCGCGGCATAGCGCAGAGGATTTCAAAACACGCTCGAGGAGAAGGGGGATGTGAAGCAGAGGGGGACGAGGAGAAGGAGAGGAGGACGAGGAGAAGGAGGGGGCGGGCCAGCGCCGGAATGAGGTCGATGACGAGGGGAAGGAGGGGGCGGAGGAGACGCTCGCTGCAACACGCCGAGATCCACGATGCGGCAGCCAGAAAAAGGCGACACACGGGGAAACGACCATTCACGGTAGGGATGCCGCGCGTCGCGGGCCCCCCACCCTCCCTCCGCCTGGCGTTAAGTCGGGCCTGTCCCCCTACAGGCCGATTTGGACGAAAAACTAAAAAGTACCCCCCAAATGCACTAAAAATGCTCAACAATGATCAGAAAATAGTCCCCAGACTATTTTTGTACTATTTTTGAATCTTCCCCCTGCAGAGGGACAGGCCCGACTGAAGCCTGGCGCCGAGGCTCGACGCATCCCGGAGCCACTTCCCATAGGGGGGTCCCTTCGGGGGCCCCCCACGCTCCCTTCGCCTGGGCGCTCCACCTGCAAGTCCTTCAACGCGTCCAAGAATAGAAGAAAAACAACAATGCATGAACATAATAAACTTTTGGCGCTACGCGCGGAGCGCCAAGAGTTTATGTTCAAGCCGAGGTTCTCCTCTTCTGTTCCTATCTCGAGAGGCACTGCAAAG